TGCGGGCCCAGGCTGGATTCGAACCCACCACCTTAGGTGTATGTGGCTGGCACCTTAGCCACTTGAGCCACAGGCACCGAGCCAGTTTGCCCCTTTTCCTTGAAACCGGGAGGAGCTAGCTTCCAAGCTTTTTGTGTTCATCCAACTCTTCTCTTTAGCTTGAAGAGTTCTTTGATAGAGAAATGAAAAGTGCAGGTAGACATAGCTGTCCATCCTGTGTCCGCATGACTTGGATGGGCTAAGTACATCTCTAGGGATTCCATGATGAATATCACCTATCCTTCTGGGTGCCGCCCCCCTAAATCTTTATAGGGAACATTTCTGTATGGCCAGGAAAGAACATCCAAAGGTTCCAATCTTCTGGAAAACTTTCTAGTCTTCCCTATGCTGTAGATGTAAGTTATTTCTACAGGAGTCTTTTTTTTTTTTTTTTTTTTTTTGAGACAGAGTTTCACTTTGTCGCCCTGGGCAGAGTGCTGTAGTGTCCCAGCTCACAGCAACCTCCAACTCTTGGGCTTAGCTGATTCTCTTGCCTCAGCCTCCGGAGTAGCTGGGACAACAGATGCCTGCCTGGCTATTTTTTTGTTGCAGTTTGGCCGGGGCTGGGTTCAAACCTGCCATCCTTGGTATATGGGGCTGGCGCCCTACTCACTGAGCCACAGGTGCCGCCCTTTCCACAGGAGTCTTAATGAATAGTTTAGGACTTGGAGAGGTTAGGGTGGAACAGAAGATTCTTCCTCTGTGCCTAGCAAGGCTGGTGTGGAAAATGATGACACTGAGTCCTTCCAACTCAAGACAAAAAGAAGTGTTGCAAGCGAGCGAGTTCCTGCTTGGGGTCAGAAGTCCTGGTTCCCAGGCCTGGTCCTTCACAGACATGCTGCATAACCTTGAGAGGGCATTGCCTCAGCTTCTACCATCTGCTCAAGGGGAGCGACTGTCCTTGCCTGGCTTCCTCCTCTTTCCTGCCCCTCCTAGAGCTGTTGTGCGCTCAGAACAGATAATGGATGTGCGGCCCCGGGGTTCTGTGTAATTCTGATTAATATTAATGATCCAACATGCAGTTGCCTGCCGATTTCCAGGCCCTGGGCCAACTGCCTCTCTCCATGGGGGCTGGAGTGGGAGGATGTTGGGCCTCCACCTCCTTCTGCCAGCCCTGAGCATCACCCAATATCCCATGGGGCCGATGATGCTATCTCTCCCCTCTTCACCCCTAGATTTTTTCCCTGGGCCACTGCCCCAACCAGGACTGGCTGGCTGTCGGGATGGAGAGCAGCAATGTAGAGATCTTGCACGTCCGCAAGCCAGAGAAGTACCAGCTGCACCTGCATGAGAGCTGTGTGCTCTCCCTCAAGTTTGCATCCTGCGGTGCGCCCCCCCCCACCACCACATAGGGCCCAGAGGCCTGGGGAAGGGGGCTGTACTCCTCTAGAAAACTCCAGTAAAATCCAGAATGCCCTGTTAAATTTGAATCTTAGATTGAGTAACGAATGATTTGTCAGTATGTTGCATGAAGTATGGGGGGACATACTTAGAGTAAAAGGCAAATCATTTGTTACTACAAGTATATCCCAAATAGTGCGGATCACATGGAATTTGCTTATACTACAAACTTTAATGTTTTATAGTGATGGAGATCATGTTATGCTGTCCAGGCTAGTCTTGAATTTTTGGCCTCAAGTGATCTTCCCATCTTGGCCTCCCAAAGTGCTATGATTTCAGGCATGAGCCACCATGCCTGGCCTGAGATACAGATTTAACTGGGCTTCTTGTATCTTATCTGGCAACTGTCTAGAGGGGGTGCCCCTTTCTTGAGGGCCATGTGGAGTCTCTTAGAGCCTTAACTTTACTATCTGGAAAGTATGGGGGAAAGATTAAGCCTCAGCTCTCTAGATGGCTTTGTACCCCCTCAGTAAGGGCAGAGGTGCCTGGAAAAGGGGAGAAGTGGGACCAGCGTGGCCCACCTTCCTCTGTGGCCATAGCCTTGGACTTATAGTGCCCCTTCCAGAATTCTCCCTCTTCTCTTTCCTTAGGGCGGTGGTTTGTGAGCACTGGGAAGGACAACCTGCTCAATGCCTGGAGGACACCATATGGGGCCAGCATCTTCCAGGTACGCAGTGGTTTGGCAGCTCTCATCCCTGGCTGGATGTCACATGTGCAGGTGCACAGGTTAGGTTAGAGGGAGTGCTTCTATCCACCAAGCCCACCCACTTGCCACTGTGAACTGTCCCCAGGGTTCTACCAGCTTCTGCACCAGCAGCTACTAAAGCAGAGCTTGGCCTCATCTGCCCAGGTTTTTTTTTTTTTTTGAGACAGTCTCACTTTGTCATCTGTTGTAGAGTACCGTGACGTCACGGCTCACAGCAACCTCCAGCTCTTGGGCTTAGGCTATTCTCTTGCCTCAGCCTCCCGAGTAGCTGGGACCTCAGGCGCCCGCCACGATGCTTGGCTATTTTTTGTTGCAGTTTGGCTGGGGCTGGGTTTGAACCCATCACCCTCGGTATATCCTAACACTCTAGGTATATGGGGCCAGCGACCTACATGCTGAGCCATGGGCACTGCCCTGTAACCTCCAACTCTTGGGCTCAGGGATTCTCTTACCTCAGCCTCCCGAGTAGCTGGGACTACAGGCACCCGTCACAACTCCTGGCTATTAATACCTCGCTATTTTTTTTTTTTT